AGCTGAGGTTCAACCGTCCGTCCAGTTCGCGCAAGAGACTCGGCTCTACCAACTTGTCCAAAGATCCGCCATAAGAATATTAGTGAAGACAGGAAGCAACAGGAATTAATGTAGACTATACGAACTAAACGTCTCGACAGAAGAAAAACGATGAGAGGAAACATGATCGCAACGTACAAGATACTAAGAGACCTAGACAACGTTGACACTCAGCAGGGGTGTATCCAGAACAAGGAAACATAGATCGAATACTGATATACAGATGATACATAGATGGAATACAAATATACATATGATACATAGACGGAATACTAATATACAGATGATATATAAAGGCTACTGGAAACTGTTTTACGGTATTGGTAATAAAGATGTGCAAGAGACTAGAGAAGAAGAAGCAGTACATAGCTTCAGGGAAAGCTACGATGATTATTGATAAATTCAACGAGGTAAATAAAACACACACATTATTAAATTCACAACACTACTGACTCTTCCACTAAATTAATTCACAACCCTTATCCCCCTCTTGCACTAATCACAGTCCTTTTTCCCTCAAGTATTGCCCTCCCATTCCCATCATCGTTCCTCTCCCTTCCCCTCACATCAAACATCTCCCTCCCATCAAACATCTCCCCATCACCTCTTCCCCCCCCCCCCTCCCATCACCCCTCCCCCACCCGAGCTCCTTTCCAAATGCTAATTACGTTGCTCATTTGACTCAGACGCTGTTAACAGAAGACGCTCTATTGACTCTCCCCTCCGCCCATCTGCCTCCTTCCCCTCTAAATTCCTCCCTTCCCACCATTCCCCTCGCCTCCCCTCTCCACATTAAGATAGCATTATCCATTCACCTATCAGACAGACAGCCTAATGCGATGGAAGCACCTTGGCATGAACCCGGCCTGAATTATGAACCATCCTCCCCTGCTAATTGATTTCGGACAGAAATGGGGAGGGGGGTTAATGGGGTGAAGTAAGAAGAGGAGGAGGTATGGAGCAGAGGGAGGGAGGGAGAGAAGGAGGGAGAGAGGGGAGGAGGGAGGGAGGGGAGGAGGGAGGTAGCTGGAAGGAATTCAGGTTCGATCAAAGGAAGCCGATGCAGTAATGACGGTGATATGCAAACTATGATATGAGTGTTTCATCGTTCCTTTACCCTCCCTTAAGTGTGTGTGTGTGTGTGTGTGTGTGTGTGTGTGTGTGTGTGTGTGTGTGTGGTGACCTGTACTTAGCTCTGTGAAGATCTGTCCAGTGTGTTCTCCGTGAATCTGCCTAAGATGTCCTCTCTTGAGCAACTCTGCCAGCAGCTAAAAGAGGAGCTTAGGATTGCTAAGCTTGAAATACGGTGACGGACGGAGGAAAACAAGAGGATTCGAAGTAATCCTCCTGTTGTGAGTCCTCAGGTCAAGAGAGGAACCTGGTCAGTGGCCGGCCAACATGGAACGAAGCTCAAAATCAAGAAGACTGTTGGAGTGGCAGAAACAACGAAGATCCAGAAGACTGCTGTGGAGACTTCCAACCCATTTTCGGTGTTACAAGACGAATGTGTGTTGTCCACTGGAAACGTCGCTATGAGTACCAAGGAATCATTGGCAGAGGAGAGTGAGTCGACATCCCTTGAAACACCAACGAAGACAATCGAAAACGTCTCTACGAACTCCACCAGTGAAGGTAAGAACATTGTTTTAGTTGGGGACACTCAAGTGAAATTTATGGACAGGGCATTTTGTCTTAGGGACAGGAAGACGAGGCAGAGGGTATGTTTTCCTGGGGCTGGGATGGGGAATATTGTTAGCCGTCTGGACGACATCATGAAAGGTAATGGGAGCAATCCTATTATCTGCCTCAGTGCAGAAGGCAACGATGTTGGCAGACGTAGGAGTGAAGACCTGATTAGCAGGTATAGGACAGCAATAGAGAAAATTAGGAAGAAAGGTGGGAACCCTGTAATCTGTGGCATTTTGCCCAGGAGAGGAGTTGGAAATGAATGGTTGTCCAGGGCAATTGGTGTCAACTGCTGGCTGGACAAACACTGTAATGAAAATGCAGTGACATTCATAGACAACTGGGACCTCTTCTATGGCAGAAATGACATGTATGCCAGGGATGGGGTTCACTTATCTAGGTTTGGGGTAGGAGCACTGGCTAACGCAGTGGAGGGAGCTGTTAGGTCTTTAAACAAGAAATAGACAGTGGTATGGGTTTTCGTGGAAAATCAAGGTATTCTGAGTGTAGCGACAGTGTGAGTTTTAAGGAAACCAGTTATAGGAAGAATGAGGAAGAATTATTGGTGAACATAGGAAAACCAATGGCATTAGATGATAAGGAGAGTAACAGGCATCTGCAATTCTACATTCTGTCTTACCTCTAATTCTTTCAATAATAACCCTACCGTACACTTTTCCTGGTATACTCAGTAAACTTATTCCTCTATAATTTTTACAATCTTTTTTGTCCCCCTTCCCTTTATATAAAGGGACTATACACGCTCTCCGCCAATCCCTAGGTACCTTCCCCTCTTTCATACATTTATCAAACAAAAATACCAACCACTCCAACACTATATCCCCCCCAGCTTTTAACATTTCTGTCATGATCCCGTCAGTTCCAGCTGCTTTACCCCCTTTCATTCTACGTAATGCCTCACGCACCTCCCCCACACTCACATCCTGCTCTTCTTCACTCCTAAAAGATAATATACCTCCCTGACCAGTGCATGAAATTACCGCTTCCCTTTCTTCGTCGACATTTAATAAAAGTTCCTCAAAATATTCTCGCCATCTACCCAAAACCTCCATCTCTCCATCCAGTGACTACCCTACTCTGTTTTTAACTGACATATTCATTCGTTCCCTAGACTTTCTTAACTTAACTCGCTCCAAATTTTTTTCTTATTTTCATTAAAATTTCTTGACATTGCCTCTCCCACTCTATCATCACTCTCTTCACCTTTCTTTTACTCTCCATGTACTCTACTCTTCGTATAACACTTCTGCTTTGTAAAAGCCTCTCATAAGCTACCTTTTTCTCTTTTATCACACCCTTTACTTCATCATTCCACCAATCACTCCTCTTTCCTCCTGCACCCACCCTCCTATAACCACAAACTTCTGCCCCACATTCTAATACTGCATTTTTAAATATATTCCAACCCTCTTCAACCCCCCCACTACTCATCTTTGCACTAGCCCACCTTTCTGCCAATAGTTGCTTATATCTCACCCGAACTTCCTCCTCCCTTAGTTTATACACTTTCACCTCCCTCTTAGTTGTTGTTGTCATTTTTCTCTTGTCCCATCTACCTCTTACTCTAACTGTAGCTACAACTAAATATGATCCGATATATCAGTTGCCCCTCTATAAACATGTACATCCTGGAGCCTACCCATCAACCTTTTATCCACCAATACATAATCTAATAAACTACTTTCATTACGTGCCATATCATACCTTGTATATTTATTTGTCCTCTTCTTCATAAAATATGCATTACTTATTACGAAACCTCTTTCTACACATAGCTCCATTAAAGGCTCCCGATTTTCATTTACCCCTGGCACCCCAAATTTACCTACTACTCCTTCCACAACATTTTTGCCCACTTTAGCATTGAAATCCCCAACCACAAGTACTCTCACACTTGGTTCAAAACTCCCCACGCATTCACTCAACATTTCCCAAAATCTCTCTCTCTCCTCTACACTTCTCTCTTCTCCAGGTGCATATACGCTTACTATAACCCACTTTTCACATCAAATCTTTATTTTACTCCACATAATCCTTGAATTAATACATTTATAGTCCCTCTTTTCCTGCCATAGCTTATCCTTCAACATTATTGCTACTCCTTCTTTAGCTCTAACTCTATTTGAAACCCCAGACCTAATCCCATTTATTCCTCTCCACTGAAACTCTCCCACCTCCTTCAGCTTTGTTTCACTTAAAGCCAGGACATCCAGCTTCTTTTCATTCATAACATCCACAATCATCTCTTTCTTATCATTTGCACAACATCCACGCACATTCAAACATCCCACTTCGACAATTTTCTTCTTCTTATTCTTTTTAGTAACTATTACAGGGAAAGGGGGTTACTAGCCCATTGTTCCCGGCATTTTAGTTGACTAATACAACACGCATGGCTTACGGAGGAAAGATTCTTATGCCACTTCCCCATGGATATAAAAGGAAAAGTAATAAGAAGAAGAACTATTAAGATAAAATCAAAGAAAACTCAGATGAGTGTGTATAAATAAACGTGTACATGTATGTGTAGTGTGACCTAAGTGTAAGTAGAAGTAGCAAGACGTACCTGTAATCTTGCATATTTATGAGACAGACAAAAGACACCAGCAATCCTACTCACTTGGCAGGACGGTAGTACCTCCCTGAGTGGTTGCTGTCTACCAACCTACATATATATATATATATATATATATATATATATATATATATATATATATATATATATATATATATATATATATATATATATATATATTTATATATAATATATATATATATATATATATATATATATATATATATATATATATATATATATATATATATATATATATATATATATATATAATATATATATATATATATATATATATATATATATATATATATATATATATATATATGCAGAACAAGCACGCGGGGAGTTGAATGATACGTGTAGGCTTTTCATGTTGCAATCAACACATCATCAGGAGTTTGCAATGTTGCAATAAAGAGGAAGAGGAAGTCCAAGCAGGTACGATCACAGGAGCACCTTTGCTAGAGTGATAGTATTTGCCTGTATCTCTTCCTTTTTTCTAAAACATTGCAAGCTCCTAATAATGTGTTGATTGCAACACAAAAAGCCTAGAACTATCTTTCAGCTCCTCCCGTGGATGTTTTGCATTTTGTATCGCTTGTTCGCGATTTCTGTATAACATCTTTGGATCTTGAGCGAGGTTACTGACCTACCCATTCCACATTTAATCCCACAGGTCTCTTCCACCGGGCTATATTGATGAGTGGCTCTGCTCTCAGCCGCTGGGCCGTCACCTGGGACCCGTATAAGTACACCATCCAGGTGAGTGAGAGGCGAGGCACGGTCTTCACGCTCTCATTTACTCCTGTGAATAAAATATACATAATAATAATTCAGATGCAGCTTTCATTAGGACAACATTTCACTCCATAAGGACATGATGAAATCTCTGAAGGGGCAAAACGTTGTCTCGTTGAAAGCCATTTCTATAACGTAATCCTTTTCTTCACCATTGCCGGCAATGTGACATTGCCATTTATTCATTCCAGTTCTTTATGAGTTGTCTTTTTAGTTATCACAACTTGGAGAAAATTTGATTACCTTCCCCTTATTTATGCTCCGTTGAATACTTGTTGATATCGTCATCGTCCATTTAACCACTAAAGATAACACATTTAACCACTAAAGATAACACATTTAACCACTAAAGATAACACATTTAACCACTAAAGATAACACATTTAACCACTAAAGATAACACATTTAACCACTAAAGATAACACATTTAACCACTAAAGATAACACATTTAACCACTAAAGATAACACATTTAACCACTAAAGATAACACATTTAACCACTAAAGATAACACATTTAACCACTAAAGATAACACATTTAACCACTAAAGATAACACATTTAACCACTAAAGATAACACATTTAACCACTAAAGATAACACATTTAACCACTAAAGATAACACATTTAACCACTAAAGATAACACATTTAACCACTAAAGATAACACATTTAACCACTAAAGATAACACATTTAACCACTAAAGATAACACATTTAACCACTAAAGATAACACATTTAACCACTAAAGATAACACATTTAACCACTAAAGATAACACATTTAACCACTAAAGATAACACATTTAACCACTAAAGATAACACATTTAACCACTAAAGATAACACATTTAACCACTAAAGATAACACATTTAACCACTAAAGATAACACATTTAACCACTAAAGATAACACATTTAACCACTAAAGATAACACATTTAACCACTAAAGATAACACATTTAACCACTAAAGATAACACATTTAACCACTAAAGATAACACATTTAACCACTAAAGATAACACATTTAACCACTAAAGATAACACATTTAACCACTAAAGATAACACATTTAACCACTAAAGATAACACATTTAACACTAAAAGATAACACATTTAACCACTAAAGATAACACATTTAACCACTAAAGATAACACATTTAACCACTAAAGATAACACATTTAACCACTAAAGATAACACATTTAACCACTAAAGATAACACATTTAACCACTAAAGATAACACATTTAACCACTAAAGATAACACATTTAACCACTAAAGATAACACTTTTAACCACTAAAGATAACACATTTAAACCACTAAAGATAACACATTTAACCACTAAAGATAACACATTTAACCACTAAAGATAACACATTTAACCACTAAAGATAAAACATTTAACCACTAAAGATAACACACATTAACCACTAAAGATAACACTTTTAACCACTAAAGATAACACATTTAAACCCACTAAAGATAACACATTTAACCACTAAAGATAACACATTTAACCACTAAAGATAACACATTTAACCACTAAAGATAACACATTTAACGACTAAAGATAACACATTTAACCACTAAAGATAACACTTTTAAACCCACTAAAGATAACACATTTAACCACTAAAGATAACACATTTAACCACTAAAGATAACACATTTAACCACTAAAGATAACACTTTTAACCACTAAAGATAACACATTTAACCACTAAAGATAACACATTTAACCACTAAAGATAACCATTTAACCACTAAAGATAACACATTTAACCACTAAAGATAACACATTTAACCACTAAAGAAAAACACATTTAACCACTAAAGATAACACATTTAACCACTAAAGATAACACATTTAACCACTAAAGATAACACATTTAACCACTAAAGATAACACATTTCATTACTTGATAAATGCAAACAATCCTCTGGGATGAAATATAACACAAATACAGTTTCCTCTCCTTACAAGACTGTTATATACAGTAAGGTAGCAGCACACTGCGGGTGTTCCCACACTGTAACTATCATATAGAATAAAGTCGTAGCACAATGTGAGTGTTCCCACAGTGTCTATCAGGTATAATAGAGTAGCAGAACATTGTGGGTGTTCCCACAATGTAACTATCATACAGAACAAGGTAGCAACGCAATGTGAGTGTTCCCACAGTGTCTGTCAGCTATAATGGGGTTGCAGCACAGTGCTGATATACCTAATTTTTGCATCAACAATTATTATTATTATTATTATTATTAGTATTATAATCAAGGGGGAAGCGCTAAACCCGGAGGATTATACAGCGCCTGGGGGGGGATGTGGAAGGCATTCAGGCTTAATTCGGGGAACTGGAGCACAGATCCAATTCCCTAAATCAAGAGCCCCTCACCAACATCAAGGAACCTTCCTTGAGGGGTTGCATCAACAAGTAACCGAGACATATTTACTAATTACATTTTCCCTCTTGCAAATTACTTTTGAGCCATATTACTTTTCTGTTTTCTGTGAGACTTCCACTCTCAGTCTTTCTTATTCTGTCACTTTCAGTTAGTTATTTCGGTTAATTATTTTCAATTAGTTATTTTCAGTTATCAACGGTCAGTTATTCTCAACAAGTCATTTTCAGGCAGCCATTTTGAGTCAGTTTTTTTTTTTTTTTTTAGTAATTCATTCTGAGTAGATCCTTGTAGCTTCAAGATATCACTTGGCACTGAGTCATTACTTGGCACTGAGTCATTACTTGGCGCTGAGTCATTACTTGGCACTCTGATAAATTGTGAATCCTTCCCAAACATCACTAGGAAGCGCTATGCCCGTATGGATCATACAATGACTGGGGAATGGTAGGTAGTCAGGTTATATCTAATCAAAAGGAGAATAACTCCAATACCCTTAATCAGTCACCCTTGAAGGATGTGACTGACTCAAATCACACCTCCTCCCGTTAGTGTGGCTTGAGTCAAGGTGTCACACCTTTGTATAACCCTCACTGAACATCACTGTAGATTATTCTCAACAAAATCTATGTGGTTGAGGGACCAGAAGTTCACCATAATAATAAGAATTAGAATTTGCATAAAATCTATTGGATCGGGTATACCTGGAATGGATACCTGGAAGGTGTTCCGGGGGTCAGCGCCCCCTGCGGCCCGGTACATGACCAGGTCAAAACCAAAATAAATCAACTTAAAAAAAAGTTGATTTATTTTGGTTTTAAAAACAAGTAATTAATAATACATTTATCGTGGTCTAAGCTGTGTGTCCGTAGTTGTAGGTATGTGTAACGCTTGAGAGAATAAGCCGATACCATAGCCGAGAGAAGACACGCTATTTTTCCCTCTGTGAGGTGGAAGCATAGAGTCTCCAGGGTTCCACACACTTTATTTATATCTTTGGTTGAAGCTGTGTGTTTGTGGTTGCAGGTGGCCCAGGCGCTGGGTTGTCCCCGCAGCGACGACAAGGATGCTCTCAAGAAGTGTCTGCAGATGAAGTCTGTAGAGGAGCTGTTGTCTGTGAACCTACTGACTCCTTCCTTCACCACACCCCTCGGGCCCATCATTGATGGTGTCATTGTCAAGAGTGAACCACTCGAGTAAGTGAGAGAGAGAGAGAGACTTTTAATCTACGACTGGAGGTTGGGTGAGCTTAAAATCCACTGTTTTAACAATAATGAACCTAGAAGAGATTCAGAAATATACCAGCTGATTAATTACCAAGTTAAATTTGAAAAATAAACCTCACAACATTAAAGTTCAAAGTAGTCAGAGTAGATATAATCACGACAAATAAGGAACTTGGAGTAGACATAGTGATGACATTAAAGGAACTTACACAGACACGATCATGACAAACATGGAACTTTGATTAGACATGGACATGACAAACATGGAACTTAGATTAGACATGATCATGACAGACATGGAACTCAGATTACACATGGTAATGGCATACATGGAATTTAAGAGAGACATGGTTATAACATGCAAAGTTGATTAAGATAAGTTAAATAAAAGAGTAAAGACAGATTATTATTATTATTATTATTATTATTATTATTATTATTATTATTATTATTATTATTATTATTATTATTATTATTATTATTATTATTACATTGTTAATGTTATTATAGGGAAGCAGTAAACTAATAAGAGTCATACAGTGTCTGGGGAATGAGAAGCAATCAGATATGATCCGAGGAGAGAGAGCATAGCTCCTATTTCTTGAATCAAGAGCTCTTCTCCAACATCAAGGTATCGCTCTGGAGAGGCCAGATGAGATGTAAGGAGAGTTTGTAGAGCGTGTTGGCAGTGTACGAGAGAACACCAGGCAGGGAAACTTGGGAAAAAATGATATACGTGAATTTAGACGTATACACAACAAAACCCATGGAACTGAGGGACTGATAATGCATCAAAATAATAAGAATGAGATGTGTATAAAATCTATTGGATTGGGTATGGATCATAACCATAAGATTAGGTGTTGCCCACTACCTTAAAATTTTCTGTAGCTATCTTGACCAGAACCCAACCTTGTACTCGAGCCTGAAATAAACTTAGTTAACCTTAAAACCTTTACTTTACATCTATAATAAGCCACTTTACAAGAACTGAAATTTCAAAGAGTGCATTAAATACATGGGATAGGTTGTGAATCAAATCCATAGGATTTGGTGTGCATCAAGTTCATTAGCTTTCGAGTATATCCAGTCCATGAGATTGGATGTATATAAGACCCATGGGATTGGGTTACAAAGAGAAAATATGTAGTAGGGGGAAACTCTGATGACAACGCTTCAAGGACACAGTGAGCTTGATTAAGTCACAAGCAGATAAACCTGGAGGTAGAGGGTTTGTGCATATATAGCCAGAGAGATGCGTGTCAGGTCACACTGTATCCAAGATGTCCTCGTCTTCAAGAAATTCGCTATTTTCTCGAAGAATAATCTTTCCAGAAGCACAGTCAAACTATGGTACCATGTTATTTCATCAAGGAATGCAGACTATATGGTATATAGTATATGACCTAAACATCATTATTATTCCAGCACTTGATACCATTGATAAGTGGTATTAGCGACTCTAGTACCAAACACATCTCCGAGATTTTCTTCAACAGCGAACTCAGGATGACCGTCACTGCCTTTACTACCGTCAAGGACATCATCAGACAGAAAGATCACCATCACAGTTACTGCAGGAGTACACATTATTACGGTACTTGTAATAAATATGGCCAAATGTCCATAAGTGAAAGGCCCAAGGATCTCAAAAAAATTACAACACTAATATTCCAGCATAATAGACAACTTAAAAAATGTCTGCATATTCCACTGACATACCCACAATGATCTGGTGAATTTGAGTGCTGAAATATTAATTTCTAAGAAGAACAACATTGAGAAGAGATGTCTGGAATTACTGCTCATCATTATTTCTAACAACTTTAAATGGAACAGCACTTACCGTAACTTAGCAGAACCTCTAACTAGAACTTTTAAAATATTTGAGAACTAACGTGACTTCGTCTTCACGTTACATTAATTCACTGCTACATACACGTCCGCCCTCTCTCTCTCCAGATTTGACAGTTTCTCACTTTATAAAGTCATTACGTGGGTAAAACATCGGTATATAAAAACACAGAAGTAGTTATATAAAACTTTATTGATGACACTTTACTTACGCAGTGAACTTTAAGTCACAAAGAGAAAAACCTGAGAGGAAAAAACGAGCACATAAACCGTTTATAATTGAAGTGACGAATAATGGAAGTTTATATCAGATAATATTAATTCTCCTAAATACTTTGAGTTTATCTGTTTGTGATTTGGTAAATCCCACTGCATTGGCGAAACATCGTCAATGAAAGTCCCATATAACTGTATATGTCTCACATTATCATGTCAAGTAGCTGTGCATCAATTCCCTGGGTATTAGGGTAGATAAAATCTCTAGGATTTGGGTGTACATCAGAGTTATGGGTTTGGCGTAAGAATAACATCCATGGGATTGTGTGTACATCAGATCCATGGAGTTGGAGTTTACAACAAATCCAGAGGATTAGGGGCTGCATCAAATCTATGGGCTGGGGGAGGGCGGATCAAATCCATAGGAATTGATGTACATTAAATCCAGGGAATTCCGATAAATCATATCTCTGGATCCGTAAATGAATCTAAACAGTGGGATTAACGGTGATTCATATCCAGCTAAAGGTGAAAATGTGGAGCCTAACGAAAATATAATAATATTGGTGAAAGGCTTTTGATTTAAGGAATTGGAGGAACCCTCCCTTCCCTCGGAACAAACCTTTCATATCGTAGGCACGGTATGACCGTTGTTGGTACAGTGTTTCTCCCATAAAGATTAGATGTGCTGATGATTAAGACACTTATGCAACATATGGGAATCTTTATTGAAGCAACGTTTCGCCACACAGCGGCTTCATCAGTCCAATACAAAGCAGAAAGGTGTAAGGAGAGGAGGAGTTTGAGGTAATCAGTCCCTCAGCCTGGAATCGATGTGTTCAATCCATCAGTCTTGTAGAAAGTACAGTATATGGCCAGGGAAGTGACTTGTCGGTTTTCAAAACCATGTATCGCAGTAGGTGTGCTCTAGTCACTGCTTAATACGAGAAAGGTGTCCCTGTATCCCGTAAGCCCAACCCTTACTCCAGTACAAAGAAATGGAATAATGAAGAGTTTGCTATAGGCCTCTAATGCAGGGAAATATCATCGTTGAAGGTTTGAAGCCGATCAGACGAAGCATTCACAAGTTATTGCATGGAAAAACTATGTAGGAAAATATCATCGTTGAAGGTTTGAAGCCGATCAGACGAAGCATTCACAAGTTATTGCATGGAAAAACTATGTAGGAAAATATCATCGTTGAAGGTTTGAAGCCGATCAGACGAAGCATTCACAAGTTATTGCATGGAAAAACTAAGCCAGTTTCTACAGTAAATTTAGTAAAGTGGAACCTACACAGCTCAAAACTAATTTGATCATTCCATAACGTATAATAACGTATAATAAAGTATAATAACGTATAATAACGTATAATAAAGAAACAGACATTCTAAAGTTAGCCAGAAATACACCATAATTGTAACTTTGAGTATGAAGCCGCTCTTCTGAAACATTCTAAAATTTTCTGCATTGAAGGTTTGAAGCCAATACGGTGCGGCATTCACAAGTTATTGCATGGAAACCAGCGTTTGGATTTTTACAGTTTCATGAATAAAATAACCTAATTTTATTTACACAATCGAAATCATTTTAATAATAATAATAATAATGATAATAATAATAATAATAATAATAATAATAATAATAATAATAATAATAATAATAATAATAATAAATAATAAAAATATTCTTATGAAATTTAAAATCCATTAAAATACGAGTGTTTAGTATTTTTCAGTTGTCTTTATATTTTTTTTTTTTTCAAATTCTTTTTGCACCTACAAAAAAAAAATGATTCATTTTAAGAAACGAGTTTTGACATTGATAAATTATCAAACATGAAAAGTGGAGGATCCAGGAAAAAAGGTGCGAAGTGGCATCTTCACATTCCAATAACAATCCAAAGGTTCCATTAAGATACATGAACACTGAAGGTTTGAAGCCAGTCAGTTGACGCATTCACAAATTATCCCATGAAAATCAATATTTCACTTTTCATTTTCTTCATAAAACTGTGGCAGTGGCATCAATACAACCCGAACACCATCCAGTAAGAGCAATTATGTTCCACTTGGAGACTTGAGAAAAAATCTGGGAAAACGCCTTTGAAAATAGTTTGGTGCTACATGTCGACGCAAGATGTGTCTAAATTAGTCATGTTTAAGTGACTTATTGCGAATTTAGTCTCAGCTTTGATAATAATAATAACAACAATAATAATAATAATAATAATAATAATAATAATAATAATAATAATAATAATAATAATATCTTTATTTACTACAAGTACTTGTACAAGGTATACAGACCATAGCTGACATCAATGACGTACTACTATATAGAAAGCCGTTTGTTATGCTGAGCATTTTGGGCAAATTAGGTCAGTTTTGTCCCAGGATGCGACCCACACCAGTCGACTAACACCCAGGTACCTATTTTATTGATGGGTGAACATGGACAACCGGTGTAATGATATGCCCAATGTTTTTACCCTCGCTGGGAATCGAACCCAGACCCTCCCCGTGTGAAACGAAAGCTTTAGCCACCATGCCACGGGGCATTACAACATTGCATTGCATGCAATGTTGCAAGAGTAGCAACCGAAGAAATAAAGGGAAGTTTTCTCAGAGTCGGGTAGCTTGACACCAGCCACAGCTTCTCCATCCCTCGTGCCTTGTATTGAATTGTTGGAATCGTCTGTCTGCGATTGTTTACATATTACGATATGTTAAAATCGCAGTACTATGCCTGGAATTATTTAGAGACGAAGCCTTAGATCACCTTGTAGTGCGTTCGGCTTTAATAATAACCCATGAAGGACCGAAATGTCCTTTGAAGTTTGGGATATTCGTGAAATGCCTATCACATTTGTTGTTCTCCATAGGTCAATGAAGAGAGAAACGTCGGTGTTCGGGAAGTACGACCTGCTGTATGGAGTGGCGCTGGCTGAGTGTTACCACATGCTCAACTCTGCTGAGGTTCGTAATGGTATGACTATCGAGAGACGCAACAGATTCGTCAGGGCTTATATCACCAACAACTTCGACCACCACGTGAGTAATTGTTTTTGTTTGTTGTCGAAATAACGGATTCAAATTGGGTAATTTTAGGTTTAGAAAGAATGTAAGTAAGTGCTGCTTGGGAACAGAGAAGTCGGTGAGTGAAGAGAGAGGTGATGTAGGTAGCAGCTTTTAGCCTGTAAATAAAGTTATGAATCCTTACCCTAACCTTGTTAAACCCTGTGCAAAGAGAGAGAGAGAGAGAGAGAGAGAGAGAGAGAGAGAGAGAGCAAAATTAAGCAAAACTAAACTCTTAGTACTAGGAGATTTCAACCACATGGAGACTGACGTAGTGTTCAAAATCCAATGAAGTACGTGAATCATGGAGAATAAAACTTATGGAAGCAGTAATGGAGAGTTTTCTGAGAGTGTCTGAAGAAGACAACCGGAGTTAGAGTACAGCAGCATGACTCAACCTGTATTTTACACAAAATTGTTATGACACATTATGATACATGTGGTGTTAGTGTTGGAATATCTGTTGGAAATGAAAATTATGAAATGGAGTAACAGAATATGGAACTACAAGAGGAGGTAATAAGATGGAGTGAGAGACTTTCTGAGATAAGTGCAACGGGAAAGGTCACTGGACCGCACAGCAAACAAGAAGAAAGCAACGTCGTTTACACAAATCTTACTATTTTCGTCAGTTCGTGGGGATGCTTTGAGCTCGTCAAAAAGTTGTTTACACAGGTCTTGTGCAGTGCTCCTAAAAGATAGCCAACATGTTTCTCCTTTTTCATTTTGTCCTGTTTCCTGACAAACCTTACCTAACCTAGCCTAACCTAACCTAGCCTAACCTAACCTAGCCTAACCCTTTTCATACTTCACATCAAGGGTCCTCAACATTAGGTGGAAATAATGTTGGGCAGAGCCCTTCAAGAAATATTCATGAGCACAATCCTTAAGTCTGACCATTTAGTGAGGTGTGGAAGAAAGGTATAAAATACCGACAATATGAAAGTTAAGACACATGTGTCTTAACTTTCATATTGTCGGTATTTTATACCTTTCTTGCACAACTTGTCAGACACTGCAACATCATGGAATCTTGGTTCAGAGGACATCTACAAGACCTTCACGGCTGCTGCAACTAACCCATCTCTTTGGGAAGGACCTACTTCCACTGGGGAATCCCGCCTACCAGTGACTTTGCCCTCGTCTGCTGCCCGTCCCTTCCACTGACGCCTATATAAACCGCCAGTCTTCTTGTCTTTGCTCCAGATTCTCCTCCACCACGATGCTGTGAACACTAACTCCAAGGCCGAGGGACTGATTACCTCATCTTTTGTATATAGTTCTACTGTCTTCCTATTATGTCCTAGAATCTGTATTGATAAAGCCACTGGATGGCGAAACGTCTACTACAATAAAGATATCCAGATGTTGCACATGTGTCTTAACTTTCATTTAGTGAGGTGTTGGACCTCTTCAAACTCAGTAAATTGTTTGGCGTTGAAGTCGCCCTCTACTACCGACGCTCCAGCTCGCCTTATGTAATGATTAATGGTTTTGAAAACCGACAAGCTGAAGATTGAGATACTTTTGCAACATATGGGAATCTTTATTAAAGAAACGTTTCGCCACACAGTGGCTTCACCAGTCCAATACAAAGCAGAAAGGTGTAAGGAGAGGAGAAGTTTGAGGTAATCAGTCCCTCAGCCTTGAGTCGATGTGTTCAGTCTATCAACCTTGTAGAATGTACAACATAGGGCCGTAGACGTGGCTTATATACTGTAGTCAGGTGAGGCGAAGCAGTAAGTAAGTCTTCGTCCAAAGGTTGGACAAGTGTTGAAGAATTCTTTGTATTAAGATCCCATGATGATGCAGTGTCTGACAGTTGTGATGAATGGCTTTGAAAACCGACAAGTTGAAGATTGAGACACTTAAGCAACATATGGGAATCTTTATTGAAGAAACGTTTCGCCACCTTTCTGCTTTGTATTGGACTGATGAAGCCACTGTGTGGCGAAACGTTTCTTCAATAAACATTCCCATATGTTGCATAAGTGTCTCAATCTTCAACTTGCCTTATGTAGTAATCGTCTGCAGGGTGTTCGTGTGTATCAAGGACGAACCATTCCACTAAGGTAAACCAAGCTTCAAGCTTATTGGGATCACCGGAGAAAGTGCCCGAAGGACCCAATGCATTACCACAAAGACAGTCATCATGTAACTGAGCAATGATTTGACCTACATTTAAAACTAGACTAGTAACCAGAATCACTAGAAGCAGATTCACTACGGGTTAAGTTAGGGGTTGAAGAATCAATGCTGAGTCAGTGACTCCTAATCTTGATATTCATCGTGAGGATGGTCAAAGACACATGCAAGAAAACTTATTTCTCAGTGTATGCACAGAGAATGTGTATATTAGTGCATATACACACTGACATTATTGCACCTGAATTGCAGCCATAATGGCCCACATTATGTGGATAAGTCTTATACTTGAGAAACTGACTTTAAAAGCTTCGACTCAGAGTAAGAAATGCTAAGCTGCTCTGGTATTCTTGGCTCAAAATTTATATCACAAATCTTCTTTTTTTTGTGGAGAAATAGTCTTCCAAAGTTCTTAGGAAAATACGCCGTGATAACGTCAGTACTGTGATAATGGCTTTCATGTTTCTTACTTTGATGTATTCATTATACAGTGATGATTGGATGGAATATGAGAGTTAGAATTTGAGAGTTTTGTTTAGAATTAGATGGAGGGGATTAGAGTTAGAGAACGTTGGTTACAACTTTAGAGAGGGCTTTAGACTTTGAGGGTGTGAAGTAGAATTTGAAGTTGTGATTTAGAACTTGAAGGTCGTTAAAATTCGAATGTTGGGTAGAATTTGAGAATATATGAAGGATCTAGGAGTGATAGCATCAGAAAATTTCACTTTCTATGATCACAACAATGTCTTTACCATATTTGCCAGAAAAATGGCAAGATGGATAATGATAACCTTCAAAACTAGGAATACCAAACCAAAAATGATTCTCTTCAAATCGTTTTTACTGTACACTAACTGCCCCTTTCAAGGCAGGCGAAATTACAGACCTGGAGAATATACAGAGAACTTTTAATGAACGTAAAAGTACAGTAAAGCACCTCAATTACTGGGAGCGGTTGAAGTCCCTTGACCTGTACTCCTTGAAATGCAAGCGAGAAAGATGGCTCATAATTAACACATGGAAAATCTTAGAGCGACTAGTCCCAAATCTGCACATGAAAATCACTCCCTACGAAAGCAAAAGACCCGTCAGGCAGTGCAACATCCCCCAATGAAAAGCAGGGGTGATATTAGTACACTAAAAGACAACACATTAACTGTCAGAGGCTCAAGACTGTTCAACTGCTTCCCATCATACATAAAGGGGATTACCAATAGATCCCTGGCTGTTTTAAAAAGGGAGCTGAACAGGTACCTAAAGCCAGTACCTGACCAGTCGGGCTGTGGTCCGTACGTTGGTTTGCGGGGGCCGGCAGTAACAGCCTGGTTCATTAGGTCCTGATCCACCGGGAGGCCTGGTCATGAGCCGGGCCGCGGGGGCATTGACCCCCGAAACACTCTCAAGGTTGTAAACTATTCGAGGGTGTTGCATAGAATTTGAGGGTGTAGGACTGAACTTGAGAGTGTGGGGTGGAATGTGAGAGTGTGGGGTGGAATGTGAGAGTGTGGGGTGGAATGTGAGAGTGTGGGGTGGAATGTGAGAGTGTGGGGTGGAATGTGAGAGTGTGGGGTGGAATGTGAGAGTGTGGGGTGGAATGTGAGAGTGTGGGGTGGAATGTGAGAGTGTGGGGTGGAATGTGAGAGTGTGGGGTGGAATGTGAGTGTGGGGTGGAATGTGAGAGTGTAGGGTGGAATGTGAAAGTGTGGGGTGGAATGTGAGAGTGTGGGGTGGAATGTGAGTGTGGGGTGGAATGTGAGAGTGTAGGGTGGAATGTGAGTGTGGGGTGGAATGTGAGAGTGTAGGGTGCAATATGAGAGTGTGGGGTGCAATATGAGTATGGAGTAGAATGTGAGAGTGTGGAGTAGAATGTGAGAGTGTGGAGTAGAATGTGAGAGTGTGGGATGCAATATGAGAGTGTGGAGTAGAATGTGAGAGTGTGGAGTAGAATGTGAGAGTGTGGGGTGGAATATGAGAGTGTGGAGTAGAATGTGAGAGTGTGGGGTGGAATATGAGAGTGTGGAGTAGAATGTGAGAGTGTGGGGTGCAATATGAGAGTGTGGAGTAGAATGTGAGAGTGTGGAGTAGAATGTGAGAGTGTGGGGTGGAATATGAGAGTGTGGAGTAGAATGTGAGAGTGTGGGGTGGAATATGAGAGTGTGGAGTAGAATGTGAGAGTGTGGGATGCAATATGAGAGTGTGGAGTAGAATGTGAGAGTGTGGAGTAGAATGTGAGAGTGTGGGGTGGAATATGAGAGTGTGGAGTAGAATGTGAGAGTGTGGGGTGGAATATGAGAGTGTGGAGTAGAATGTGAGAGTGTGGGGTGCAATATGAGAGTGTGGAGTAGAATGTGAGAGTGTGGGGTGCAATATGAGAGTGTGGGGAAGAATGTGAGAGTGTGGGGTGGAATATGAGAGTGTGGAGTAGAATGTCAGTGTGGGGTGCAATATGAGAGTGTGGGGAAGAATGTGAGAGTGTGGTGTGCAATATGAGAGTGTGGAGTAGAATGTGAGAGTGTGGGGTGCAATATGAGAGTGTGGAGTAGAATGTGAGAGTGTGGTGTGCAATATGAGAGTGTGGAGTAGAATGTGAGAGTGTGGAGTAGAATGTGAGAGTGTGGTGTGCAATATGAGAGTGTGGAGTAGAATGTGAGAGTGTGGTGTGCAATATGAGAGTGTGGAGTAGAATGTGAGAGTGTGGGGTGCAATATGAGAGTGTGGAGTAGAATGTGAGAGTGTGGTGTGCAATATGAGAGTGTGGAGTAGAATGTGAGAGTGTGGGGTGCATATGAGAGTGTGGAGTAGAATGTGAGAGTGTGGGGTGCAATATGAGA